AAGGATGATGACCGATGAGCTCCCCCTCCCACCCCCCTCGCTGAAGTCATCCCACTGATTCGCTGAGTCAGCTGTTATTGTCATATCTGCTTTCCCCCTGGCAGCCGCTAAGAAAATGTTCATCCAGGAATTCATTTGCTCTTTTTACGGTTAGGATGAATGTTGTGCAGGTTTGTGTAATTGTGCCGTTCTGTGAATAATACAGCTGCCAAAGCAATGTCTTCCACCGCCACTACGCAGCACAGCCTTCATGGTTCTACCCTTTAACTCTGAAAAGTTCACTCAGCAGGCTCCATAAACACATTAATATTGTCAATTCTGCAAGTGAAGGAATGTTGTTTTTGTAAGAGGGTAAAAAGTTCATGTTTGCTATATTTATACATCCAGACGTACTGTAGATGAACATTGCTTTGCAAAACTATATAACATCTCAAACTGTTTTGCATTTTGTGAGGTTACGCTGACAAATTTTCATGTATTTTTTGGTAGCACAATGCTGTGGGCTTGTTTTTCTTTAACAGAGACAGTCACAGCTGGTCAGTTATTTATGTTGAGATGAATTGAGATAAATATAGATCTAAATACATGGCAGCAATTGAAGGAAAAAAAAAAAACATGCACAAGCAACTTGAGATTGGTGTGGAGGCTCACCTTCCAGAGAGAAAATAATCCCAAACATTTCAGAGCTACAAAACATAGTTTGTAATCAAAGCATATTCATTTGTTGATTGTTAGAATCCTCCAATCAAAGCTCAGAACTACGTCCTATTGAGAATGAGTGCTATTGGATGATTGTTTACACATTTTGTCTTTTGAAACCGCCAAATTTTGAATTCATTTTATATTTCGGAGGGCTTATTTAAAAAAAAAAAAAGTATTACATTTCTTATACTCTTGTTTTGTTGTTGTTGGTGGTGGTGTGTTGCAAAGCTCAGCAGAGCTCAGTATAACTGCTGCTGATGTTGCAGAACCGTGTCTGCTGCAGCTGCATGGAGCGTTACTGTAATTAATCTGAGCATAAGATGCAACATTTATGTAATCATATTGCAATGTATTTTTTATTTATTTATTTATTTATTTTTTTTACAAAGAGATTAAGAGCTTTGGCATGCACGAACTGCCTGTAATGTATTCAGTGATGTTACCCTCTTTATGCCTGCTTTTCATCCCCCCGGTGAGTGTAATACTCAATAGGACGTGTCAGCGTAATTAGCTGTGTCCTGGGGTTGTGTTAGCTCACACTCACTGCCTAGCTTCAGTGGGATAAAACCTCTGTGTGTATTCATAACCTCTCTCTCTCTCTCTCTCTCTCTCTCTGCCCTACAGAGCAGTAACTGACCTGGGTTTAATCATGTGTTATGATCATTTCACCTTCAGATGCCTTTGAAGGCTTCAGTGTCCTGAGCCCCTATTATATTCTGATTGCATGAATGAATTGCCTTCCTCAGTTTGTCTACTATATTACCCTAACACCACCTTTACACTCACACAATCTCATCCATTTTATTACTGATTATATATATATGTATATATGTTTTTGTGTTTTTTAAGGTTCATTTAGAGAGTCATTTGTTTATCAGAGAAAATGGCAAGACCTCGTCTTTGGCATTCTGTGTCTGAGGATTTAGGCGTAGATTGCTCGGCTTATACACAGTTTTTGGTCTCTCCTTTTGAAGGTTAATGTGAGAACACTACATCACTGACATTGAGCTGTGCTGTCAGAGCTCCTTGAAGTTCGTATCCCACAGCTTCCGGTGCCACGACACTGGGAGTAATGCAACTGTGCCTCTCTGCAACATTTGCAGTTCTGGACCTCTCCCTGTGGTGCCGATATACATGCAAAAAAAAAAAAACAAAAAAACTTTTAGTACGAGACTAATGAAGAACAAAATCCTCTTTAGAAAAGTTGATGTTGCCTCTTTGTCTTCAGTTTACACCTCCCGACTACATCTGCACTCTAAACGAAACCATCTGCTCCGGTGTTTATGGCAGGCTACGCATGGGGCAGTTAACTGTTAGTCTGATTAATGGGGGTCTTTGAGACAGGGTGCAGGATGATACTTAGTATTGTAAAGAGTCCATTACTCTTGTCCAGATGGTAGGCGCTGAACTCTTGAGTATGTGACGCTCACTGGCAGTCATGGTCTGCGTTTGGCAACTGGATGCTTTACAACAGATATGCTCTGATGTACCCATTTGTTCCATCATTGGGCAGCCGTGACATTCTTACAACCCACATGCCAGGCAATTGCATTACACTGACCAACGGTCTGCAGGCATGCACATGACTGATGATGCCTTTTAATGCTCCCTGATGTGAATGCTAAATGTGCTGGCTTCTTGAAAATCAGACCAAGGAAATGTCCTTCGCTTATCTGCTAAATGATTTCCAACGTGGACAATTTTTTGGCTCTTTTTTTTTTTTAGCTAGTGAGAAAAATATCTGTGATACAGAAAGAGTAAAAGAGGTCTGTCTCAGTTTGATGTATGCTGCCCAGGTTGCAAGAGGAACAGGAAGTAGAAATTGAAGAGGAACATGGGAATTATGGTAAATTTCTATGTTTTATTCTTTGATTCTCAGTCGACAAATAAAATAGCCTATCTGATAGAGTGAATATTGATCACACATTTTAACATGCCTATTGAATTAGGAGGATTAAAGCCTGTAGTCATTTTGCATAGTTTGTGAACCGCAAGCAATAGTGAATAAAGTTGAAGCAAATTGCATAAAATATTTTCCCCATGGTTCAGTTTACCAGATAAATGCTAGCATGATTATGCTACGTTTGTGACGCATCAGCTCATACCCGTTGGTGATCCTCTACCCGGTAGAAACTTTGCGGATCTCCACTCGTGTAATTCCAAGAATCTGACACGCTTCCCAGGGTGGTTCTGGTAATGTGGAGTTTTTTGTGCATGCATGTGCCAGTATGCATGCAGCTGTATCTGGAGCAGCATTGTTTGTTTGCTTGTTTGTTTTTTTTCCGGCTGAATGTTCGTCCATGTCTTGTCTAAGGATGTCGTGCTAGAGGCATCTCAGCTGTGCACATTGTATGCAAAACGAATCAACCTGGATTATACAAAAAGCCCCAAAAAACTCTGACGTAGCTCAAGTGACTGTTTCTCAATTCGTTGGATAATGGGGACGGGGACAGACCCATTGTCAGGGTTGTTTAGGAAAGCGAATCCTGAATCAAGTTTGTTTTGACAGCTCCTTCTGCCAGTGTCTGTACACTGGCAGAATTATTGGATAACCGAAAGACTGGCCAGATGAAAGTGCTTGTCTTATAGCGTGTCACGTTGGAATTTAGCACAAAAAAAAAGTTGTAAATGAATTATATTAATATTAGAGAGTAAATGTTTATAGATGTTTTAACATCAGTCTGTGTTCATAGAAGCACTGTTTAGACTCTACCAAAGCACACCGGAATCCTTTTATATTAAAACTCTGTTATTTTTTGGCCATGTGTTATGTTATGTGCAAACCACATATTCATTGTATTTCTATTCACTGTTGTGATCCGTTTCTCTGTGTAGTTATTTTGAGATTTTCTGTGTTTAGTCCTGTTTCCCTGTGAGTCTCTGTCCTGTCCTCCCTGTTGATTGATCCCAGCTGTGTCTAGTTTCCTGATTACCCCGTGTGTATTTAAGTCCACCTGTTGGCTCTGTCTCTTGTCGGGTCTTGTGTTGGTATAGCTCTCATTTTCAGTCTTCAGTTTTGTCAGTTGCTACCGGTATTTAGCTGTGTGCTATCTTTCTGCCGTGCTGCCTGATCTGGACTGTTTTGAGCATCTTCATTAAATTCATCATTTTCTTCTACAACCTGGGTCTTTGCGTCCATCCTCACCACCTCTCACTCACCGCAGATGACGATTTATAATTGCTTTATAAATATTAGAATAATCCTCTTAGTGTCTTATTTTGCATTCTTTTCAACAGTAGAAAGGATCAATTCAAACTGTAGATCAGTGGTTCCCAAACATCCCAAACAGGGACACACACAGACGTGTGTGTCCCTGTCGCTAATGTTTTTTGAGGGGGGGGGGTGCAAAATGAATGTACGTAGCTGCAGCGTTTTGCTGGTTTGCTGCCATGATTCCAACACACATGAGTAGCTCTGCACAGCAGCAGCAGGTCTCCTTCACAGGTGTAAACCCAGCGCCAGGGTTGTAGCGTTCATGTTGCGTTTAAAGGCGGCTCGGAAAAACAGGTTTCAACACGTTAACAACGGATTAAACAGTTTTAACTGCGGATAAAAGTGACAGAGGACACAGATGTCGGAAATGTAGCCCCTACTGTATCAACTTGACACAGGAATAACAGAGAGTTGGCCATTCTAAGGTAAAAACGCAGCGCATACAGTGTTTTTTTTTTTGTTGTTTTGTTTTTTGTTGTTTTGTTTTTTATTTTCATCCAGTCGGCTTCCCGCGCCGTCCTCCCCCGCCCCTGCAATGGCACGGCGCCAACTGTGGAGCGCTAGGGGGCGCGTCCCACAGTTTGGGAACCTCTGCTGTAGACTGTTTTAAGATTGAGTTGAGAGTGGTATGAGAGTCTTTACCAAAACTGATGCTGATGCTTTGAACTTTGCTTTTTAAAAATAAATAAATAAATAAATAAATTAATTAATTAATTAAAAAGCTGTTAAGTCATTTCTAATAATATAATTTAATGAACCAGAAGCAAGATGCACTGAACTCACTGCAGGAGTTGTAGATTGATGGTCTCCCGTGTTCAAGTACAGATCTCGATATTGGTATTGGATCAGATTATCGCCATCTCTATATTTACTGTATAGGGAAGTATTTTTCATACTGACTATACTTATGATGATGGAAATGACAATTATGCTCCAAAGAAATGTGGTAGCTGCATCAAAATGTTAATTTAAACTTCAGACCGTGAGTTGATATTACACTTTCTTTAATATATAAAAAGAAACAGAGAAAATATATGTTGAATAAAGTTCATCTTTTCAAATTTATGTTTTTCTACCTTTGTAGAGTCGATTCTTCTTCACCAGCTGGTCACTCTTCTGCTACTGTTAACCCTGGAGGGAAGATCATCACTCGGGGTCTGACTTACACAAACATGGACAAGAAACAAAAATGGACTCCAGGTCTTGAAGCTGTATTATTGATATTGCTGAGTCACATGACTGCAGGGCTTGAAGTTCCTCTTGACCGTAAGTATCACTCACAATAATATATAATTTGCAACCGATGCGGCGTGGTGTTTCTCTTCTGTAAACTGATATTCAGTGTTTGTGAAAAGCCTCTTCTTGCATTTGTTCCACCTTCTTCCACCAAAAATGCAAGCTACACGTGAGAAAGCTGATTATGCTGGCTCTATCAAACTCTAAAAAAAAAAAAAAAAAAAAATGTCTTTCAAATTAATCTGCTGCTTGTTCCTTGCGAGACATCCGAAGAAACTCTAACACCTCTCCTCAATATTCTATTACTGTTGTATGGCATGTCATGGGGGACAAAAAGCTAAAGTGCTGGAAGGATGTAAGTTGCCTAAAAAAATAGCCTTGGCTTGTTGTGTGGAGTTTTTGCCTTTCAAATGTATTGATTTCCTCTTTGTGTGGCTTGGGTAACAATGTGCATGGAGTGTTTTGTTTTGTTTTGTTTGTTTGCCTTTTCGCCCAACCCCATAACTCTACTGAGCACCTTGCTTGGCTTTGGAGTGTTGCTTGAAGTATAATTTCGAAGTTAAACAATGGTAAGTCATTTACTCAGGAGAGAGATTGCTGCTTATGTCCTTGTTTGCTCCACAAATCTTGTTGAGTGTGGCTAAGCATGCGTGTTGCTTGAATCGTTCATCTCCTCATTTATGCAAAGTATCTCTACATTGAATTCAGTGCTGACGTGTGTCTGAAATACTCTTCTACGGATGTCTCGCCAGTGCCCCAACCCCCCACCATAACTCTGCAGTCCCCGAAGGATTATATCTTTGATCCACGGGAGAACATCGTCATTCACTGCGAGGCCAAAGGGAAGCCTCATCCCAGGTGAGACGGTAACTCCAAAACACTTATTGAATGATTTAATGCCGCCGCCGTGCTCACCCCCCGCTAAATTACAGCCACCGCTTCCTAGGGCAACTTAACCTGGAGGCAAGGGGAGAAGATAAATTGCCATAGCAACCGTCGTCTTGGAGATCAGGCGGTTAAGAAACACACCCGGAAGAGTGGATTAGCAGCTGCTCTGATTTTGCCACCAGTCGTTGGATCAAATACGTTACAATCAGGGCAAATTGAATCAAAGACTTTAACGAATTTGAAACATGACAAATCACATCAATATTTTATTAATTTGCCAATGCACGGCTGTCCACCTAAACTTGACAGATTGGGCAGGGAGAGCATAAATTAGAAGCAGACATCCGCAACTTATGCGGGAGTATCTGTTGACAGAACGTTTGTTTAACATGGAATCAACCAATTGGGGCATTATGGAAGACTGGCAAGGAAAAACAAATCAATTGTCAAAAATGCTAGAAGAAATCCCCTTTTAAAGTTGGTTACAAACTTTGTAGGGAACACAGCGAGATTATATGAAGATGAGTCCAAAACTGAACTTTTCACTCAAAATATAAAACCTCTGTTTGTGAGGCAGAACGCTATTACTGCAGCACAACAATCCTCACGCTCAAACATGGTTCTTGAAGCATCATAACGTAGGAAAGTTGTTCTTCAGCAGGGTCAGGGAAGCTGGTCAGAGTGTATTTGTGTATTTGAAGATGGATGAAAATGATCTGAGATTCTGCATGAATAAGACTTTTATTGTAACACTGGTGAGCAATAAAACCATTTATTTTTATACAATTAAAATTAAGATGTTTGGACAAAAATTATTTGTTCTTCACAAAGCGCCAAAGCTGACGTCAAAACATTAGTCGTTTCACATATTTCAGAAATGGCCTGCAGTATTTCTTTCTTTTTTTTTTCTTTTTTTTTTGCTTCTATTCCTTCTAAGCTACATTATTTACTCTTGTCATCTGTAGCTTTTCATGGACAAGGAACGGCACCAACTTTGATGTGGAGAAGGACTCCAAAGTCCTGATGAAGCCCGGTTCAGGAACGCTGGTCATTGATATCAGTGGAGAAAAGGCTGATGCCTACGAGGGAACATACCAGTGTACAGCTAGCAATGAGCACGGCAAAGCTCTGTCCAATACCATTATGATCAGGCAGTCAAGTAAGACACCTCAATAAATAATAGTCAGTTATTCCTAACTGTCTGTGTTTTTAAAACACCCTCGTTTGGTCATCGTGACTCGCAGGGTCCCCCTTGTGGTCAAAGGAGAAAAATGAAGCGATTTCGGTGCAGAAGGGGGTTTCTCTCGTGCTTCCGTGTCGACCCCCGGCAGGCCTGCCTCCTCCTGTCATTTTTTGGATGGATAACAGTGAGTCGCTTGAACGTAAACTTTGCTGCGCTCTTGTAAAAGAACACCGACGCATTAATCACACCCGGCATGCCGTTTCCCCCCTCAGACTTCCAGAAGCTGCCGCTGAATAAGCGGGTGTCCCAGGCCCTGAACGGAGACCTGTACTTTTCCAACGTTCTCCCAGAAGACACCCGGAGCGATTACATCTGCTACGCTCGCTTTCCATACACGCAGACCATCCAGCAGAAGCAGCCCATCTCTGTCGTTGTGCTCAACAGTAAGTCCAGGCAATGAAAGTTTGTTTTGTCTGCGTAAGTCGAGATGTGGCTGCCACTGTTTGTGTAAAAGTTCAAAGGGTGAGGCTTCTTTTGCAAAGCGCTGCACATTCTCTCCAGGTAATCCTGGATGTATTTGATAATGCAGTGCACATCTTTCGATGTCACAACGGTTCCAGCGCTAACACTTAAAAAAATGTTATTGAAGGAGAAAGTAAACATCAACTTTATACTTCCTGGTATTGCCTGGTTATCATGTTTCTTTTGTCATATTCCAGTGGAAACAATGAATGAGACTTTGGCTGCTTATAGTATGACTGATTTCTATAGTGGTGAGTGCTGTTGGTGTATTCCCAGTGTGAACCCTGCCTTGTGTTTTACCCCCTGGCATAAACATGCTCCTTTTAACTTGGCCTCAACACACTCCCTGTGTGGTTACATTAACACGCAACACAATTATCTCCCGCTTCTCAAATTGAAGAGTATATTAAAGAATAAATACAGATGTATAAAACATGCGTCTTTCTTTTATTCTGGTACAATAAATTATTTTCTGTCCCATCTTATTACATTTAGAAAATAGTTTGACTGTTTGACTAATTGTCATAAATATCCCTTCCTGACTTCTCATCTCCACATACTAAGCTTCTCTTATAAATGTCATGGTGAGACCAACATCTAAGCTAGCTGCTGCTCTGGCTTGACTCTGATTCCCACTTGTTTCCTCATGTGATCAGGTAATCCAGAGGGGGAGCGTCGCCCCGGTTTCAAGTTGCCGAGCGGCAGCACGAGCAACAAGATGGTTCTGAGAGGAGAGACTCTTGAACTGGAATGCATCGCTGAGGGATTGTAAGTTGGCTTTTTTTTTTTTTAAATACGTTTTGAACTTCTTCCAACATTTTGTCACATTAAAACCACTAAATTCAGCATGTTTTGTTGGGATTTTATATGATAAACCAACACAAAGTGGTGCATACAACACAAATTGCATAAAAAACAAAAACGGTCTCATGAAGTCGATCTTTGTGTTTTCTGCGACAGACCCACTCCTGATATTTCATGGCAGAAGGATGCAGGGAAGCTGCCGAGTGGCAGGGCGCTCTTTTCCAACTTCAACAAAACGCTGAAGATTTCCAACGTGAATGAAGACGATGCCGGCGAATACCGCTGCACGGCGACTAACAAGCTGGGCTCTGCGCATCACCTAATTAAAGTCGCCGTTAAAGGTCTGAAGATCGGCAAAGAATTTTATGTACTGTTGTCTCTTCATCAATTTTGAAATAAAAAAAAAAAGCATTTTGCTTGTCAGCTTCCTCTAACGTCATCATATAAACATATATAAAGACAAGCATATCTAAAGACTTGGAGTCATGTTCTCAGTAATCTCATTGTGCGTTTTTATTCTCCCTCCCCAGCTGCTCCTTTCTGGATCAGTGCTCCCAGGAACCTGATACTGGCTCCGAATGAGACCGGCATCCTAACCTGCCGTGTTAATGGAAATCCCAAGCCAAAAATTAATTGGTTTGTGAATGGACGTCCAATACAGGGTAAAAAAAAAAAAAAACAAACCCAACAGACTATCTGTATCTGTTCACTGTAATACACACTACGGTAAAACAAAATACAGGCAAATTCCATCAAATGCTGCATTGCAGTTACCTGAAGTGCCAGAAAACTGTGTGTCGGAATGACAAAAGTGTCTCCTTTTTTATTTGCCCTAGATGTTTATGAAGAAAATGGCCCAAAGATAGAGGAGGACACCGTGATTCTCAGCAACGTGCAGTCGGGAAGCAGTGCCGTCTTCCAGTGCAATGCATCCAATGAGTTTGGTTACTTGATGGCCAATGCGTTTGTCAATGTGCTGGGTAAGCTTTAAAGTCATCTAGCCGTTAGCGTACCTTCACATACGCAGACGTGCACGTGTGCGATGAAATCCAGCAACAATGTCTATCTGTGCACTCAACAGCTGAAGCACCAAGAGTTCTCACTCTGCCAAACCAAGTGTACCGAGTCATCATGAACCACCGGGCGCTGCTCGACTGCGCCTCCTTCGGCTCACCAATACCAACCATCGCATGGTAGGAGTTCGAAACCCAAACCAAGTTGGTCACTGTTCCATTTTGTCGTTTTCTTACTCTGGTCCCATCCGTAGACATTATTAACAGACTTGACAGACGTCTGCCACTACTTTTCTTCTGTTTCCAGAAACCACGATAACAAAAATGTCCTTTTCAATTTCTCAATACAGGTTTAAAGATGGTCAGACCAACATAAAGGACGGCGACTCCTATGTGATCCATGAGAACGGCACACTGGAAATCAACGTGGCCCAGCCTCTACACAGTGGGAAGTACACCTGCACCGCCACCAATAACCTAGGATTCAAAGAGAATGATGTCTTCCTGGAAGTTAAAGGTCAGTAAGAGATAGAAAAATTGCTTTAATGGTTCTGCTTATAGTCACTGTTCTAGCTGTAAATATCGATTACCATTAACGCTGTGCACCAGAACCCACTCGCATCCTCACCCAGCCGACGTACAAGAAGGTGCAGAGAGGAATGAGTGCTCTGTTTGAGTGTAAAGTCAAACACGACAAGACCCTTATGCCCACCATGACATGGCTGAAAGACAACGGAGAGTTACCGGACGATCAGAGGTACAGCAGACCTTCAGATAAAAACACAACAGTAACGATAATGATACTGAAACGTCTTCATCGGTGATACACCCAGGTTTGAGGTGGGCGATGAGAGTCTGATCATCAGAGATGTGACGGATGATGACGCAGGCACTTACACCTGCATCACAAACACCATTCTGGATCAGGACTCTGCGAGTGCTACACTGACTGTTGTTGGTGCGTTGACACATTTTTTGGCTTTAAACGTGTTATTCTCTGACGCATAAAACATGTAAATTTTTAATGCCTTTTTGCTATGCTATGTTAATTAAAAAAAAAAACATTGCAAACATTGACAATTGGTGATGGTGCGCAACGTGACTGAGCACCCAGGGCAGCAGGGCCTTGAGGGTGACTCAAGCACCTGGGGGAGGGGGGGAGAAGGTAGGTGGAGGGAAATCACACGTAATCTGATTTATTGCTGACATGTTTCAATTTGGACTGGATCATAGCCCAGGACTTCATTCAAGCAAGAACAATCACTTATTATAATCTACCTTTAGACTCCATGAATTCAAATGACTGTCCTCTTCTTTTATCTTTGCTGATTCTGTTATAACCTAATACTTCAGTCGTGTTTTTTCCTGCCTTTTCTTGAATTTCAAAAATATCTTAATACTAACAGCTTATCTTCTTCTTTCACTTTCCTCTATTTTCCTTGCTATCAGAGGCAACTCCTCCTCCACCAGTTGTGTTAGGTAAACATAGAGCTTTCATTCAGTCCATCTGGTCCATTTTGTCATGTCCTGGATATATATTTTTGGCATTTTAGTTTCTTCTCCATGTCCACGGTTCTTCGATGAAGCCATTTTCACATTCTCTCTTGTCAGAACTATGGGTGTGTGTATAAGCGTCATTGATTTTTTTTTTTTTTTTTTTTTCATTCAGTTCAGCATTGAGGTCTAATGAGCTAAAAGTGGAAAAACCTGTGTGGGAGATATACAATTGCTGGAAAAAAAAACCCTAATTTCACCAAAAACTTGGTAAACTTACGCAAACGTGTTAGTGATTCGCAAGTCATCATGAAATGAATGTAGAAAAAAAACAAAACAAAACATACATTCCACCAAAAGGCTCATGCTGAATATTAACGATTTGCTTTTGTCATCATAAAGGTACATTAACTATGTCTTTTTAAACTCAAACATGTTTATAAAGACATGTTTTTAACAACAAAAAGCCTACCGGCGGGATGTCGAGTACTAGCTTTTACTCTGACCGGTCTTACAGAAAAGCCGGACCCTCCGACTGACCTGGAGCTCACCGACCAGATGGAGAGAAGTGTTCAGCTCACCTGGATCCCTGGAGATGAAAACAACAGTCCAATACAGAGTACGAAATATTGATTGGTTCATTCATTCATTTTTGCACTTTACTATTGTTCGGTGTCAGATTTGAACTGGTAACAAATGAAAAAACGTAAATTCCCGTGTGAACCTCTCTTTACACTGTTTCTTATGTTGCCACTTCTATAAAACATTTTTTTGCATGAGTCAAAACATGAAGAAATTTACTCATATTATGATACCCCAGGTTGTGATGATCTCACTGGACATGCTACACAGTATAAAATGCATAGTAAAGAGATGCTAACATGATTATTCCTATGCCATCAAATTGCAGTGCAGAAACTCGGTAGTCAAATTGGCAGTTTAGAGTCAAGATCCTTACTTTTCCAATCTATATGGTCTCAGTAACATTGCCCATTTTTCTTTTCCAGACTTTTTGATTGAATACATGGATCTACTCCACCAGCCAGGAGTTTGGGTCAACCTCACAGAAGTTTCTGGTACCACCACCACGGCCCGGCTCCAGCTCTCTCCGTACGTCTACTACACGTTCAGAGTGCTGGCTCAGAATGACGTCGGCTACAGCGACCCCAGTGAGCCCTCTGCACAGTACAGGACCAACCCTTCAGGTAGCAAGGACTTTTCACAAATTACTTATCGAGTAGTTCATGTTTAAGGTTCCCAGATGTACAGAGTGAGCTGCGCGTTATCTGATTTTCCTCAGCTCCGGATGAAAATCCAACAAATGTGGAAGGAGCAGGAACCGAGTCTGACAACTTGGTCATCTCTTGGAAGGTTTGAAGGATTTGATTTTGTTTAGTTGGATTTAAAATCGTTTTCCTCAGCCTGTTAGTCAATAGACTCTTTTACATTTGTCTTGCGTAGCCCCTCACAGGATTTCAGTCAAACGGTCCGGGACTGCAGTACAAGGTGCAGTGGAGACAAAAGGACGTGGAAGACGACTGGACCTCGAAGAACGTTCTCAACGATTCCCAGCTCATTGTTTCTGGAACACCAACCTATGTGGCCTATGAAATAAAAGTTCAGGCCTTTAACAACTACGGCAACGCGCCTGAACCCACAGTTGTGATTGGATACTCGGGAGAAGACAGTGAGTGAATTTTCTGGATGTTTCCAATGAAGTAATTTTCTATGCTGATGACTAACACTGGTGTCTCTCCACTTGGCAGAGCCTTTGTCTGCTCCTGGTAGAGTCCAGGTCACTGTTCCCAACAGCACACTGGCAGAAGTTCAGTGGGAACCGGTATCAAACCCCTCTGTCCGAGGTGAACTTCAAGGATACAGGGTACTTTTTTTTTTCTTGGATCAATGTGCTTTGAAATCTTGACTTTAGTTACTCAAATAAGCCAGAACATTTGGTGGCCAGGCTTTAAAATAGCGCTTATGTCCTTGTGTCTTTTATCTAGGTGTACTACCGTCGGGTGCGAGGCCAGCAAGACCAACAGGAAGAAGCAGACGAGCAGGAGCAAATTTTGACTTTCAGCGGTAACCGCAGTGAGGGAATGCTGCCAGGGCTTCAGCCTTACAGCGTCTACGACCTCTTCATCAAGGTGTTCAATAACAAAGGAGAAGGACCTCCCAGCCCCAAAAAGACCTTTGAAACCCCCGAAGGAGGTGTGTGTATATAAGGTCTAGCATTATCCTCTGAAAAGTTGGCTTTCATTCCAGAGATTTCTAGTACATAATAAATCCTTTGTTACTTTGTATTTCAGTTCCAGATCTTCCTTCTTTTTTGAGTGTGACTGACCACGGTTTGGACACTCTTACGCTAAAGTGGGGCCCACCTTTGAGCAACAATGGACGCCTTACAGGATACACTCTCAAATACCACCCTGGTAGGGGTAACCAGACAACCTAATAACTCGTTTTCTCTTCTGCTTTTATGTAGTCGTTCATTTCCCATCACTGACTTCTTTCTGCTTCCTCAACAGTTAACACCACAAGTGAACTGGGACCAGTCAAGGAAGTGACCTTTCCAGCCAACGTGACCACCATCACACTGACCAGCCTGAACACAAGCGTGCTCTATAAGTTTTACTTGAAGGCTCGGACAAGAAAAGGCCCCGGCCCTGAAATCACAGAAGAGGCGTCTACAGCCATGGATACAGGTATGGCCTTGTGTGCTTTCGGTTTTTATCTTGAGGTGATTCACTCCAAAATTCTGAGAGAAAAGGTCAGTATCTTACAAAAGCTAGGGTTAAAGACTCCTTTAAAACTGACAACCATGAGGAGGCTCTTCTTTATCCCCCACTTAATGTCTTACAGGCCTGTCTTTGTCTTTTCTTTTCTCTTTTAAGCTCTTATTCAGCCCACTATACAGCCAGGCAAAGGTAACATGTTTGCATGACACGTTTTTTTTTTTTTTTTTTTTTTTTTTCCATTAGAAAACCAAAACAAACCCTAGGATGTCATATTTTATAGTTATATTTAGAGTTAATCCTAGATATTTACAAGTTAAATTGACATGTAACCTTTTTTTTTCCTCACTATGTGACTTAAAATCAGGCAAGAAGTTTCCTGTTTCAGGTCATTTACGATTACCACAATTATTTCTATTACCTAAATATCAAAAACTTGTTTGGTCATTTATCCTTATAGATGGTATTTTGGAGGCATTTGGCACCTTCAGACATTTGGAAGCCCTACCCAAGGATAAATCAGACTTATGGAGGTTCGCGAATCTCTTCCTGGTACCTTTGCTGATTTCTTTTCATTTCTCTATAATATCCAACAAGGAAGCAACACAACATACCTACTGGTATGCTATGGTACCTACTGCCTCTAATTAGCTCGTATGTTAAACCTTTCAGAAGCTTACAATGCCATGAAATCATCATTTGAGCTTCCAAACAAAGATTAATGGTGTAGTAATTATAGTGTATGTTAATTTTTGACTTTGAAGAAAGACAACAAAAAAAAATCTGTGAGGATTTTGGTAATCCTTGCTGAGCTGGAACAGGAAACATTCAAATCTGATTTAATGTCACATTGAGAAAAACAAAGTTATGCATGTTAATGAGCTGTATGAATGTATCTCACCTTTATGCACAGTGCCTTGTTGCTATGCTTGCACTCTCCATCTGTATAATCTAACTCTATAACGTATTTCCTTCGCCTTGTTACCCTCTGCTACCTGTTGTCTTTGATCTGCTACATAAGAGATTTTAATCAAGCCCAGTTTGTTGGTACGCCTGTCTTGTAATTCAGATCTGGCTTATTTCGGTCTGGATGCAACGATCAATTCAGCGTTTGATCGAGTTCTGAATTACAAAGCTCAGAGGTAGCACAGAATATCTGATCTCTGTTTCTCAGTACTGTATGTTGCCTTTTGTCACGTGCTCTGTATGTGTGTTGTCTTACTCTTTCCGTGTCCTTTCAGGCCCCACAGAGCCCCCTCACCCAACCTCCCCCATCACTCTGTCTCTACATCCCCCGCTTCACAAGGGTACAAGCACTTCCCATGTCTACCCTGGCTTACACTGAGTGCTGCAAAAATGGTTTCCCTTAAAAGTAGACCCCAATAGAACCTATTAAGTCATTTATTTATTGAAGAGAGATGTTTTTTTGTTTGTTTGTTATTTTTAGATATCATACATTGGGGAAACTAACCTTTGCTGATCAACATTAAGTTCTGGACATATATTCTGACTTTTCTTTTTTCTTTTTTTTTGTTTCTTATCATAGTTCAAGTTCTTAGTCAATTAAATGGTCACGCTACCGTCAACACAGTCCCACATTTGATAGTTTTTTTTTAATCAACGAATAAATGACACATATTTGTGTGGTTTCTAAATGATGTGGTATTGATCTATGTAGAAATGAAGGCATTTTTACCTTTTCTTGTGTGATTGGTACTCCAGGGTAACAATAGTCTTTACAAGGAATTGTCGTTTTTGCAACAACTACTGTATTTATTTCCTTCTTTATCACAGAAAAGGTTAGAAAAAACATACATTTGCGACTTATTAAAAAAAAGTACTCTTTTCTTGTCTTCTAAATTACTTTGTAGGCTTAATTTTGAAATTATGTACGTAACCAAAATGTGCAAAAATGATTCTGCGAACTTCACGTGCATGAATACACTGACTTTTGACTCTTTAGTAGCAATTAAAATTTTATTTTGTAGGTTTAAAAAAAAAAAAAAAAAAAAAAAAAAAAATTTATATATATATATATATTAATATATAATAATTTTATAAAAAAAAAAAAAAATTTTAACCAAA